AATACGTAGCCCTTGACTTGAGGGAACGGAAAGAAGTGCTGGGTCCGATCAACAGAAGGTTTCAACAAGAATTAGTTACTGAATACTTAGCCGCATGAATTGAATGCACTTGTTAGCGAGCGGGACATTAGTCTTAAACCGCTCGGGTAGCTAGAACTAGGACAGGAGAAACAGAAGGAAAGGCACCGACACACAAGTGTGTCGAGTGCCATTTCCTTCTGTTACCCTAGATAGCGGGTGGGATAACAGTACGAATTCGGTTGCAAGGTGGGGGGGGGTGCGTGGAAATGTGTGTGTGTGACACACAAAAAAAAAGACGTAAGCCGGCGGCGTGGAAGCTGAAAGTGGTGTGGCAGTCCTGTACAATCCTGACATCGAAAGCTGGCCGCAAACATGAACGTGGAATCGTGAAAGTGGATCAAGTCGGTGGGAAATCCGTGGAGCCCGGCGGCTTTGGTTTTTTGAGAATACAGTGGTGCAACGAAAGTCCGTTAAGATAATCCAACGAGTGCAGAACGCGGTGAAATCAGTTAGTGGTACTCCAGCATGAGACGCTGTCCCAGTGATGGGGATCACACCCTGCACCCAAGTGGGGCGGCAGAGCGGCACACACTTTGACATTGGGTTTTCAGTTAACTCAGTTCCCAGGTGGAAGAAGGTGAGAGAAACGCAAGATGAAAGGGTCGGCAAGAACAGTATGGTTTAACATTTTTTGTACAGCGATGCAAGTTCAGTCTGTACAGTCAACGTGGCCGCAAAGTGTCTGCAAAACGGTGAAAGCAGCTGAAAACCTGAACACCTCCTGGAACAACATCAGGTACATGAACCACCATGAAACAAACCAAGGGACCACAGCAACCAATCAACAGTTTAACAATAGCAGGTACGTTTTCACCTCCCTGGCGCGCGGTCTTCGTTGGCCAGGACGTGCGCCAGGGAGTCCTGGCCCTCTGCAATGGTATCATCAAGCTTAAACTCTTAGAAACAGAGTGTGACACACACACACACACACACAGCTCGACTTTAAGAGGAACAAAGCACGTCATGTAGACTGTTGATCAACAAAACACCCTACCACTTCAGGTGTCTGCCTCCATCAATCGGGGGGTCTTTATACACTCAACATGACGTATGTCCATCCCTATCCCTATCCCACAGGACTGACGGGTGCATTCGAACTGTTCCAGACCTTTCTTCGCTCTCCCGGTCACCCGCCGGCGCTCGGTCACCGCTCCAAAGGTGGTCGGTTCCGACCCCGGCGATGGCGGTGGGTTCGAAGGCCCTTGTTTTTGGAGCAACACCGCAAGGTATTCGTCCGGGAGAGGGTTAGATCCTGAACAGGTCACCGCCCGATTTCTGGGTAGTGATGGTATATAGTTAGGTGACCAACTCTCTGGAAATTTTTCAGGAACTTTAACAACCTTTGTGCATTCTCTTCAGGGTCCAAAAACGTCATGTGAGTCCGGCCCAAAAACCTCTGGTCTCGGCCGGCCCCGCCGGGGATTTCTGGGATCTCGGAATCGGCGTAATCGGCGGAATCGGGGATAGGAAGGGTTGGAATTCCATACTCTAGGACCACCCTGTCTGGGTGTGGCTGGACATCCTGGATAGCAGGGCAGATGGTCGGATTAGACTAGGATCTATCCCTGGACTATCCGGTCTTATAGACCCCAGGGCTCCAGTATGCTCCAGTCGTACCGAACCTGAGGGTTGGAGTGGGTGGGACTGGAGGGTCCAGTCATATGCTTTTTGAGGTACGACTGGAGCCCAAACGGGATCGAACGCAGCACGAGTCTGACCTCGGACCCTTCCAGGGAGTCGACGGGATCTGACTGACCGTCCTCCAATGCGGAGGACGGGACTCACGAAGGGCTGAGAAGTGTGCACCCTAAGTGGAGTCCCATTCCTCTATCCTATTACCTGTAACCTTTTTTTCTAATCCTCGATCCTTTCCTAAGTGGATTAGAAGTCCAGACATAGGTCTTGGGTCTATCATGGTCTATCGGTCTATCCGTTCTTACCTGGGCCTCAGTGGATGATGGTGGGGCTGTAGAGGCCGAACGTCCAAAAGTAGTGATAATTCTTTACTGACTGTTACAGTTTATAAAGGACAGACCCAAGACATATTAATATAAGTTCTGTGTTGACCCTTTAACAAAAAAGAACTTGGGCATAAACACTTCAGAACCCAGTAATGGACCTGATTCTTCTTGGAAAAGCACCCCGCTCCGCAAAAAAATCTTCGCAGCATCGCGCGCCTCCTCGCGGCACCTCGCGCCGATCTCGGGCAGGGCCTGGAGCTTCCAATCCCAGTGGCTGAGGAAGATGGGAAGATTGAGAGGCTCAGGTTCAAGCCCAAACACGTACCAGGACCTTCCAACAGGTGTCTGCAAATAGCCTCTTTAAGGTTAAGGGGTGTCCAAAAACCACCTGTTGGAAGGTCCTAGTATGGAAAAGTTATAACATGTTAAACAATTAACGTTGGGGGGTCATAAAATGATCGTTTTCATGGGGTAAATGTAGATAACATTAGAATACATTAGATAACGATTCCATACATGGATTGTCTGGGAAGGGAAAACACTCAGAACGCAAAAATTGGTATTTGGGAGGGTGCTCACTCCCCTCAATGAGCCATGACAAATGCAATGATGCTCCCTTCTTACAAAGATTGGATGATGAATCCAGCACGGTCTCACTGGCATCCCTTTCCATCTTAGCAGCTTGATCTTCTTCTGGCTGTGGCGGATCAAACAGGATACCGTCCCCTAGCTCCGACTGGTCGGGTCGGCCGGTGAAGACGACCCATCCGCGACCGACATCGGGTGCGTTTTGAGACCGTCTGCCCCAAGTCCAACAGCTTCACCCCGCGGTTGGTCGGGAGCTTCCGAACGCAAGCCGGGGAGTACGCGCCTGGAGTACGCGCCTCGCGGAAACGCAGAAACGCTCGCGGCACCTCCAGTGTGCCAGTTGCCTGGGGGCTTCTTGGGTGGCTTGGAAGGCTTCTTCTTCTTAGGCTTGTCATCCTTGTCCTTGGCCTCAGCGCGGAGGCCAGGATGTCGGGAGTTCGGAGTTCGCGGAGAGTCGTCCCGTGGGCAGCGAAGGATCAGCATTCGGGGGGCCGCGGGCGGCCGCGGGGTGTTTTTTGTTGTTGGTTTGTTCGAAACAAAGACATCAAAGAGCTGTCTAAGACCGGGTGTATCGATTTTCAAGATCCCATTTTTGAGGATGCCAATTCCAAAAATATTCCAAAGACCTGGTGAATGCAGAGATCGTATCTGTGTGTTGCAAATCCGCAAAGACCTGGTTGAGTACCGCTCGGGTCAAGAAGAGTCTTTCCTCGGCTTCTTCCTAGTCCATGGACCCAAGGATGATGAACTACCCCGTGGAAGACTAACATGGACCCTGAAAGTCACCGGTGTTGTGGAGGAAAACAGGATCGCCGTTCATTCTAGGTCCATCAGATTACAGGAGTGTACTTTGCCCAAGCTGAAGAAGTTCCCAGCCAAATCTGGCTTCTCCACTTGGCGCCTGGGGACCTATAGGCGCTTCATGCCCTATGGAAACAGCAAGCCGGACACGGGGGTTTTCCTGACACCACATGCCAAACATCGCGTTTGCTGAAAGCAAGTGATGAAAAGCCCTTGGAGTCAGAGTCCACGCGTTTACCTTCATCCCCATGCGTTTTCCACGCTCCCTACCTCGTGACATCTGAGAGTCTCACGTCGGTCACTTCAAGGAAGGTATCCTGAAGGACCACAGGTCGTCAATCCACAGCAACTTCGGTCTTTGAGGCCAGAGCTCCTGAACTGATCTAAACCACTAGCAGTAGCTCTCATCGCGGTTTAGTGTAATATGGTACACTCCCTGAACTCATCGCGGTTTGGTCGGATTGCATGGTCACCCGAGTCTTCGAGGCCATGTGGTCAGATGGGTGCCGTCCAGGTGCTCCATGATGGATCACATCCGTCTCACCCATTTGGGGTCCAACCATCCGCTGTGGTAAAGAAACTTGTATCACAGGCCTCAAACACTTTTGGCCAGTTCCTTCTGTACACAGAAATCAAGCGAGAGTCGCCAAGATGAGGACCACATCAATCACAGAAAACACTCGGATGGACTGATGGACCACTGCCAAAACGTGGGAATTTATTCTCAGGTTGAGACTTTCTTCACCTTCACAAAACCTTGTCAGGAGCTCTGTGGAACTCGCTTGCTGGAACTCGCAGATCACTTCGATCTGATGGACTGTCCCGGCAGCGGGATCTGACCGAAGACTTTTGGACTCCGTTTCACGGGCACCGATGGAGGTCTCCCACCAGTCAACTTCTTCATGACGTCGGGTGACGTCGGAAGATGTCGGAAGAAGGGGAAGCCAACCATACATTCATCATGTGAAGACTCTCCCAGTGCATCCCAGGCAAACCACGAGTACTAAGGAATCAGGGATTCGATCGGTCTGTGGTTTTAGTCGAACTGGAACCACTGGTTACCAGCGACATCGTGGTTTGCCTGGATGCCCTGGGTCTGATACTCTGATCCCCATCCCGGCGACTGCACCGTTGCCACACTCGGAGGTCGACACCTCCACGGTGTCCGTGATGACCTGGGATGGTTCGGTGCAGGAAATGGACCAATGGAGTTGTGAACCGTCTATGGACCGTGCCAGGACCAGATGAGATACTGTAGGCCAGGATCATCCAATGGGTGACCAATAGACTACCCCACCCTACTTACAGGTCTCCAGACAGGGCACCCGTTGGAAGTGCTAGGGGTATATATCTAATTGCATGATCTTTGCATGTGATTCCATGTGATTCAGCGACCAAGAGTGACTGGATCCTTCTGATGCGCCGGTTTGGGCGAGATCTTGGGACCTTGGCAAAAGGTCTGACCCTTTAAGATGGGTGTGTACTGTATTAGAGAGTCACTCAACCAATGGGTTTTGGATGTCGACCGGTCTATTTTCTTCGTCCTTCTGAAAACGGGGAACGACGAACGTGGGCGGTCTTACGGTAATACACACCTACTATGTACCACCAAATGTACCACCAACTGCTTCATTTGGGAGTACACACCATGGTGAAGCATGGTGAAGTACACACCCAAATGATCCCAAATGAGTTGAAACTTCACCATGCTTCGCTTCGTCAGTGCGAACGGTCAATCGATCACAGCTGAAAAACCGCTCTGACCAGGGGTTCCTTGCATTCCAAGGCCTTGGAACCATTGGCAGGTTCGCACCCACCTCGACGGGACACACGTCCGCGCGGGGTTTGTGGCGTGCAAAAGCTGGGGAGGGCCGCTGGGAGCGGTCGACAGAAACGAGGGACTGCAGAGTGGTTGCAGTAAGAATGACTGGAGTAGAGTGTACAGTACATGTGTGTGGCCATTCTCGACTTTTCCTGGTATGTGCAACTACTACTGTGCATCTCGTGGTAGAAACATGTAGAAACCAACTAATCACAACTGCCAGACCTGCTGCTATGAACCCTCTCAATGGTCAATGAGCCACTCTCCACCCAAAAGCCAGGAAACTGCTCGCGTTCCTACAGATCTGCTTTAGTACATTAAGCACTTCAGGAACATTCGGAAACCCATGCAGTTTGTTTGCATGAACATCCCGAGTTTCGCCCAGTCAATCAGCACTGCCAACAACACGAGAAAACCCATGAACCCACCTCACGGCACCCACACCAACCCCGGCACCAATCCTTGGACAGTACCGACCCTGACATTGACATAAGAAAGACTTGAACTCCTCCAACACCACATGGGGTTCCTCGGTGAATCCGCTGGTGGAATCCATCACGTGCGCCGTTCTTTCACGTGACGCCTCGGGTGGAAAGATCCGTGGGCGGATCAGCACCTGGCGACGTGTTCGCGCCGACTGAACCGTGTTCGCGCCCGACGCTCCGTTGCTGAACCCGGAAGCTTGCGCACGTAAGACACCGAGGAATTGACCGGATGTCAGGTGGATGTTATGATATGATATGGTAATAATTGGTAGTCGTACGTAATAAGCAACAACAAAACATCTGTTTTATAGGAACTGTATCCCAAAACAGTTTGACCAACTGTTTGACTCAACTCTTGCTGAGTTACTCCAAGTCCATACGATTCGATCTTCTTTGGCTAAGGTCAAAATGAACATTTGGCTAAGGTCTCTATTCTTGGTCTTTACCAAAGGGTAAGACCTCTGGTCTAAGGTACCCTCTTGGTACTTTGGCTAAGGTCTCTATTTCTTGAAACAAGTACCCTCTTGGTCTTCACTAGTTCCCCCTGTCGACGAGCCGTTCTGTGGAAAGGGGGTTCCCCTTCTTTTTGTTCACGTCCACCAATCACATCTGCAGCTGACAGGGTCTGCTTGGTAGTCTTGCATATACTTGAGGAACCAGGACAAAATAAGTATAGAATAGTAATAATAGTATAGATTCCCCCAGAAGGGAATTGTCATTGGGAAAATGAGAACATCTCGCCCCTGAAAAGCAAACCAAGGTCCATCAACGGACTGACGATCCCGACATCGCTGAAGAGATCTTCAGCTTCCTCCCGGCTGAGGTCTAAGGTGCCGCCTAAAAAGCATTCGCGAATGACAAGCTCGTGAACAAAGACAACGCGCCCTCTCTTCGAACACAAATGCCTGAAGTCGTGACATGTCCGATGTTCTCACCGAACAGACTCCCCCTCTCGCATCTCGCGAGAAGTGGAAAATTCAGGCTCAAGGCATTCTGTTCATGCTCTTGGCACGGTAGTACTCGGCACGCATCTTTTCAGTGCTCCAGCCTTTGTTGGCGTTTTGCCGCTGGAACCTGTTCCATGGATTGGTCGGCTCCTCATTGATCCTCTGGATCGGCCGGACCGTTGGTGAGGCCTTTGATTTGGCCATCAACGCACACTGAAGCATAGTTGTCGCTGCTTCAGCGTTCACAGCAGCTAAATTCGCTGCAGCGGCCGCCTGGTGTGCGCTCTCAGCAGCACGCTCTGCCCCTTCAGCTGCCTGGCTGGCAGCTTGCACGGCATCATCAGCAGCCTCGCTGGCCGCTTGCAACTCAACAGAGTTGCTTTCACTTGAATTCCTCCTCATCGACCGTGATGATGTGCCGTGCAGCGAGCCCGATCGCCGCCTTGATGTCTGAGACATAGACCTTCTCCCTGTCATAGAAGTCCCTTCTCGATCATCGCGATCATCGCCATCACTTGGCCTTGCCGCTCGCCTTCTTCGGATGGCTTGAGCTTCCTCCTCCGTCTCTTCCTCCGTCTCGGTGGCTTCAACCCCATTCGTGCCCTGGTCTGTCCTCCCCCACGAACGTGCCCGCCTGGATCGCGAGGAAGTAGTATGGGCCCCTTCATCAGCTTCAGGCAGGTCCGATGAACTGGGTGGCTCACAAGTGACTCCATGCAATCGGTGTAGGCAACAACCAAAAGAACTTACGGCCGCCTTCGCCACCCAGATTGCCCCAATGAGCACTAGCACTATGCCACACAACATCAAACTTCCAAAAACTGCATCGGAGTCCTGACTTCCTCCAGCTTCAGCTGCACGAACCAGGGCGCTTCCAGCCACGATTGCTCTCACAGCCAACTGGTGGTCTGGTACAGGAGGAGCATTTTGACCAAGCTTCAGGCTGGCCACTTTCACTTCAGGAGGCTTCAAACCCAAATCACCAAAAAAACCTGCGAAACTCTGGCCAAGGAGCGGCTTCGTCATGCCGTCGGCCACAAGCTCAGTGCCACGAAGATGGGCCAGCTTCCAACAGCCACCTGGATACGAGCCCTGCTCATCAAGTGCCTCCTTCAGGATGTTGGACCTCACACGCAAATGCCGGGTCCTCCAGGATGTAGCACTATTACCGTAGGCGAGGCTGATGGCTGCGGCATTGTCACCATAATGACCCGCTCGAAGACATTCGAATTGTCCAGCGGCTCCCCCCCACATGGCGCACAGCAAGGCTTCCGTTGCACGACCTGTGCATAGAGCTTCACAGTAGGAAACCAGCTCTGCTTCAGCTGTGCTGTGGGTCACAAACGGTTGGGTGGCACTTTGCCATGCCACAGGAGCTCCAGCGAAACAAATCACTAGCCCTTGCACGCTTCGGTGATTGGAGCCAGTGCCGTACGCTATGTCGGCGAACACCTCCAGTAGGCCTTCATGCCGTTGGATCTTGAGCTGATCCCTTGACCCCCATTTCTTCTTGATCTTCTGGGGATAGTGCAAGTCGCCAGGAGTGCCCTTCACATAGGCGAGCAAGGACTGGCCGATTTCGATGGCCTTTGCAGGATTGCGAGTCACCAACCGACTGAGGGCCGCCACACCATAGGCCAAATCTGGCCGTGACCTGGTTGAAAGCCACAAGAGGGACCCTGCAAGAGCTTGTGCCTCGCGAATCTGCACCTTGTCCACCGAATCTGGCGGTTCCATGTCGGTCTCACTGACCTTGAAGTTCGGGAAGGTTGAGGCTTCCTTGACATTCCAGCGTGTAAGGATCTCCTGCTCATACTTCTGCTGTGACAAATGAAAACCATCACCATGCTCATCGGCAGAGATCTCAAAGCCGCAGAAGTGGACAGGAGAGGTAGGTGTTGCCTTTTCTACGCTGGATGTAGTCCAAGTGGCCTGCAAGGATGTCAGGGCTGCTGAGACTGCACTGTCTTCGCCGCTGATGAGGATGTCATCAACATAGACAGACATCAAACCTGTCCAATGATTCTCACCAGTCTCCGTGTCGGCCTCCTCCAACCGCCACAAGTTCTCATCAGCTGTTTTGACGAAGTAGCCCCTGACATTTCGCCCTTCTCTTTCCCGCACCCAGCTAACCATTGGAAGAGTGCGGTCTCTGTATTGCGACCAATCTCTTGGGGACGTTGTGAGGCCGTACATGGCCAATTTTACCAGCCACACTTCACCTTCTCGGGCGAGGCCAAGGCGCTTGTAGACACTGGGGATCTCCATTGCCACCATCTTTCCATCCTCCCTTCTTGGAGCGTTCAAGAAAGCGACTCTGATGTCGGTTGCTGCCAGCGTCCACCCCTTCAAAGCCGAGGTGCGGACCAGAGCTCGCACTTGGCAGCCATCAGCTCCTCCAGCGTAGCAATCTCCACTGAACCTGGATTCGGAGTAATTGCCACAACATACAGCTCTTGCCCGACGTACTCCAGCTCCTGCTTTGCGGGTGTACACCATCTTGGCCGGAAGAAGCTCTATGGTTTTTTCTTGTGCTTCTGCCCGTTGGTGGAGCTCTCGCTTTGTGATTTGCTCCACTGCTTCCTTTGTTTTGACCAGCTGGTTGTACTCGGCCGTGATGGATGGGACCCAATTCTCAAAGTCATCCCAAACCTCCTTGCTGCCAACAGTCCTCGTGACCAGGAACTCCTCCTCCAGCTCTTTGGTCGCAAGTTCATCCACGTCACGATCATTCTGCAGGAGCATTTCTTCCACCTCCACCTTGTACATGATGGCCTCTGACAGGACTTCCAAATAGCAGCCTTGCTCCGGGATGGTGACGTCCAAATGTCCCATTTCTTCGGACACATAGGCAGCCAAGTTTGCCTGCAATGCTTTTAACAGCTTGATCTTGTGGTGAGGATGTTCTCCAAGGGTTCCTTTCTGCGGGGTCACCGGGCTTGAGCCACCGCACCGGTTGTTAGGCACCCCCTCCGCATCCCCTCCGCCGAGAAGATCCACCACCGGAAAACCTGAACTGGTCTGAACCCCTTGGATGTCATCCTCACCTGAACTTGAAGAGCTTGTCTTCTCAGGCGTTTCGATCGTCCAGCTGTCACTGCTGACCTCCAAACTGAAGAGGCGAACATCATTTGGCATCATGATCTCAAAGCTGTCACGATGGTCACAAAGCCACCGCTGCCACCAACTTGCAAATTCACGATGGTCACATAGCCAGCGGTGCCACCAACTTGAATTGACCCCACCACCAGTCTCCCCCTCCATGTGGATCATGGAAACTTGTGGAATTGCTGTCTTTTCTCTCAACCGGCGTCGTGGAATTGCGCCATGCCACATCGGCCGAGGAGCGGCATCACCAATCTCCGGAAGGTGCACGATCGCATCATTGGCCTCAGGTTGATCGGCCGAAGGGATCACCACATCATCGGTGTAGAAGTAGCGATGCGAGGTCACCGACTGGACATAGTAGCTGGTAGTAGTCAATGAGGATTGAACTGCAGGACCCAAAATGACCACCTCATCACGAACTTCACGCCACGGCTGGTAGCGCTCCTGCCATGACTTCTTCAGAGCAAAGGCTTTTGCCCCAAACTTCAGCAACGGGCCAGAAGGAAAGCCCAGACTTCGCAACTGACCACGAAGTCTGCGTTCGCCAATGTGGATGGCGGCTAGTGGCCATTTGTCCAAGCCCACTTCCGTGGCCGCAACCACCGTGCGGATGTGCTTCTTGACCACACCCAACTCTCCCTCCACCCTGCCATTCGTCTTGAAAGATCCCCCTGTTGTGAGGGTTGTCACGATGCCCCGGTCCAGCGTCCAGCGGCGTACCGGAGCAGAGATCAGTTCCCGGGCCCTGTCACTGTGAAGCCTGTAAATTGGAAGGCCTAGGCTTCGGAGCCTCGCATAAATGCGAGCCAAGGCTTGAAGGATGTTGTTCACAGCGCGGCCATTGAGCACCTCCACAAAGGTCAAATTTCGCACGGCCACGTCCTTGGAGTCCTCCACCAACTGATGCCAGGAGTCAAACGAGGCCTGACAGGCTCGCACCGCCGCGTCCTCCCCCTCATTCGGAGCGTCTTCAACCGGCTCCTCTCTCAGCAAGGCATCTCCGGGGTCATCTCCATTGATATCAGGCTGAGGATACTCCAGATCATCACTAGGTGGCAGGTCATGATCCGCCTGCCCTTCCAAAGGAAAGCCACCTTCCATCTCAGCAATCATCATGTACTTGCAGGATTGACGGCTTTGATCAAAGCCAGGCACCATCTTGCCAGACAAGTCCACACTGAGGGTGTAGGCCTCAGGATGCACGATGCGCTTGTGGGGCTTGCTTCGGGCAGCTGAGCGAACACAATGCTTGCAATCTCGCCTGGCCGGCATGTGGTCGTTCTGGTAGTGCTGCTTCCAGCTATCAAGAACCGCCGGAGTCAAAGGCCGAAGTGCAGCTTCCAACGAGGGCGTAGTGCCACGGTTCAACCAGTCTTGCAATGCCAAGACCAAAGCAACTTTGAGGCCTGGAGCCCATGCCGCCCACGTTTTGGAGTCATCACACTTCTCCTTCATGGTCATCTGGCCACGATCTTGAGCTGGTTCTTCTGGATTGGTGCCGCTTGGAGGGCCACGAATTCCGTCCAGGATGTTGATGTCCCGGAGCACCACTGCCAATGTTGTTGGCTTCCTTTTTGTGTGACCCATTGGGCCTTGGTCGAAGTGGAGCCTCTTGACTTGGTAGGTCTCCTCAAAGTTCTGCCATTCTTTGGTGCGCCAGATCGACATGAACTGCTTATCACACACCTCCTCGGCTGGCCTGTAACGGGCCGGATCCTCAGGCTGTTCCACAGCCAATGCAGTTTGCAACTCTTGAGGGAGACGAACGTTCTCACAAAGAAC